CATCGCACAATAAAATATGAGTGTACTCTCTGCTTGAAATGCTGAAAGATGACTTAAAGGAACAGAAAATTTGCTGAAAATTCATATTCACAGGTTAATGCTTTGAGTGCTTTTGGGAGTTGTCAGGGTCACCATCAGGTACCCATTGTTAATATTTAAAATATGATAAATGCTTTGCTGAATATAGCTTTTTTTCCATTTCTTCTTCAGTATGGCATGACCCCTCTCATGCACGCTGCGTATAAGGGCAAGGCAGACATGTGCAAACTGCTGCTTCAGCATGGAGCAAACGTCAACTGCAATGAACATGAACATGGATACACCGCACTCATGTTTGCAGGACTCTCAGGTCTGGATCACAGATGCTAAATGCTTTTGGTGTTTGTACTGTTAAATTGACTGTTTTTTTATGCTAGTAATATTAAAAGACAGTAAATCATGTCCACTCTTTTGTACAGGAAAGACAGATATCACCTGGATGATGTTGGATGCTGGAGCTGAGACGGATGCAGTGAACTCAGTCGGCAGAACGGCAGCACAAATGGCTGCTTTTGTAGGTATGACAAAGATATGGCCTTATGGGAAAAACAGTGTGCTTTACCGGTCAGTTCAAATGTATGGGGTTGGTAATTTATAACTATTTTGAAACAAGGCTCTTATAAGGCTGCATTTATTTAACCAGAAATACAGTATAACCGTAATATTGTGGATTTTTTTAAAGTGTTTTCTATTTGAATATATTTTAGTACAAAATTAATTCCTGCGATGATAAATCTGAATTTTCAGCAGCCATTACGCCAGTCTTGGTAATGTTGAACGGTTGTCCTGTTTAATATTTTTGTGGAAACCATAATACATTTTTTTTTTAGGATTCTTTGTTGAATACAAAGATAAAAAGAACAGTATTTATTTGAAATAGAAATCTTTTGTAACATTATAGAGTTACTGTCACTTAAGATCAATTTAATGCATCCTTGCTGACAAAAAAAAAACAATCTTGCTGACTCAAACTTTTGAACAGTAGTGTATACTAAAAAAACTTAAGTTAAAAACCAAAATATGATGTCCTTTCAAAGCTTTTATTAGCTCTGGCTATTTTCTCCTCATTGAAGCACACGCCAACACATGAAATATGAAGATATTGGAGAACCACTGGGCTACAGAAAAAAAAGTCACCACTGGAAGAATGACAGTCTGGTGAAAGAGCAGTAGTATGTCAGATTTTGAGAGAACGTAAGGTATTTTTATATAGTATTTTTTTTTTCAGGGCAGCATGACTGTGTGACGGTCATCAATAACTTCTTCTCCCGGGTGAGGTTGGATTACTACACAAAACCACAGGGGCTGGAAAAGGGACCAAAACTCCCTCCTAAACTTGCTGGACCGCTACACAAAATTATAATGAGTACCAACCTCAACCCTGTAAAGGTACTTTTTTTTTTGTCTGAACCATATCCACACACACACACACACACACACACACACACACACACATATATATATGAGCACCACATATAGCGCAACTGCGCCTCAGGTGACCCTAGTTTGAGTCCTGACTCGTGATCCTTTCCCAGTCCTGTTCCCCTCTCCCATTGTTTTTTGTCTATCTCTACTGTCCTATCAAAATAAAAGTGGAAATGCTCATAAATACAATTTAAAAAGGTATATTTTTAAGCTAAAATACCCCAATATAGTCTTTCTAAACCTGATGACTATAATATGAAAAAATAATCAAACCATTATAAAATATAAGACTATTAGACTGGATGTTCTTTTGATTGGTTTGGCTGCAGATAGTGATGTTGGTGAAAGAAAACCCTCTGCTTATGGTTGTGGAAGCACTTGAGAAGTGTCGGAAGGTCAGTTGCATTTGTTCTGCATTATGCTAAGTGCACATTTCAGAGCCGAGTTGAGATTCATTACAGTAAACTTACAGTAATTGAATTTAAATCTCACCCAACTTTACCACAGTTAATAACTCTTTGTGTTCCAGGTTCTGGAGCTGATCTGTGAGAAATGCATCAAACAGCAGGATATGAATGAGGTGTTGGCCATGAAGATGCACTACCTCAGCTGTGTGCTGCAGAAATGTGGCTCTTTCCTGAAAGAGCGACAGGACAAACTTGATGGCTTAATCAAGAGGTGAAATATTATATATATGTCACCTTGTTGGTGTTTGGTGTCAGTAAGATTTTTTTATTCCGTAAGGATGCAGTAAACTGATTAAAAGTGACAATAAAGACATTTATGTTACAAAAGATTTCTGTATCAAATAAATGCTGTTTTTAAACTTTCTATTCATCAAAAAAAAAAAAAAAAAATCAGTTTCCACAAAAATATTAAGCAGCACAACTGTTTTCAACAATAATAAGAAACATTTTTTGAATAGACTAATTAGACTAATTTCTGAAGGCTCATGGAGACTGGAGTAATGATGCTGAAAATTCAGTTTTGCATCACAGGAATAAATTATATTTTGAAGTATATTAAAATAGAAAACAGGTATTTTAAGCTGTAGTTCTAAATGTTACAACATTACAGTTTTTCCTGTGTTTTTGATCAAATTAATACAGTCTTGGGGAACATAAAAGTCTTCTTTCAAAAACGTTTAAAAAAATTTATATGTGTGTAAAAACAAAATGTACTCTAATAAAACTAAATTGACTCAAAAATCATTTCTTAGTCTTTTGAAAGGGCGAGACAGTGATGGCTTCCTGGTATTCCAGGAGAAGTTCATTCGGGAGTGCATTAGGAAATTTCCATACTGTGATGCCACATTACTGCAGCAGCTGGTCCGGAGTATCTCTCCAGTGGAAATTGTGAGGATGAGTTACATTGACCTCTATTTGCTCCTGTAGAAGATACTGGAAGTGTAATAAAATAATAGAATCATAGCCTCAACTAGAAAGACTGAACCACATTCTGTGTATGGGAGCCTCACCAGTCCTATTCCAACAGGGAAGTGACCCCACTGCTCTGTCAGTGCTCACGCAGGCCATCACAGGACAGGTGGGTTTCATGGACGCAGACTTCTGTGCAACCTGTGGTGAGAAAGGAGCAGAGAAAAGATGCTCCATCTGCAAAATGGTAAGCATCAGGTTTTATCTTATGACTTCTGCACTTATTCCGTAATAGAAAAAGTGTCAGTTGGTTTGCTGAGGTGCTTTCTTAAATCTGTGCATTTCTTCAGGTGATCTACTGTGACCAGGCCTGTCAGAAGCTGCACTGGTTTAGCCATAAAAAGGTCTGTAAGATGTTACAGGAGCAGAGAGAGAAACACGAATCTGAGTCTGCATCACGACTACAGAAACAGGCCAAAGGTATTCAAACCCAATTCTTTTTGCATTACTATGTCATTTATGAGAAGTATCACAGTATTATCGTGTTTTTTGGACATCGTACCATGGCAACACATTGGCCTTGACGTGTTCTTTGGGAATGCCCCATATTTCCTTTTAAGTAATTAGTTTCAAGAATCATGCCACAATGTTCATGATGTATGTTTTTGATTCACTACAAAGAATCAAATGATGAAAATCATTTGCTTTGAGAATCAAGTTACACTGTTCGTGCTGTATATTTTTGATTCACTTTTTTGTTGTCACACTTAAACTAATAATAGGCATAGAGTAAAAGAGAAGATTTGAGATTACAAGTATTGGGATCATTCAACTAAAGAATTGGAATACATATTTAGAAAGAAAAAAAAGAAAAGAAAAAAAATATATATATTAGTGCTGTCAATCGCATTCAAAATTTTTGTTTACATAACATATGTGAGTGTACTGTTTATATTTATTATGCATATATAAATACACACGCATGTATATGTTTAAGAGTTGTTTATATATTAAATATATTTATATATAATGTAAATTATATATATGCATGTAAATATTTTCAAAATATATACTGCATATGTGTGTATTTATATATACATAATAAATATAGAGTACACACACATATTATGTGAACAAAAACTTTTTTATATATATACTAGTGTGTGTGTGTGTGTGTGTGTATGTATGTATGTATATATATATATACACTTTTTTTTATTTAATAATTTTATTTAATAATGTCATTAAAATAGCTGATATGATTTAAGCTCTCTCTTTCTCTTCCATAGCTGAGGCTGATCAAGCATTGGAGGAGACGACCGGCACTATGGAGGAGCTCTCTGTCAGTCAGAGTGAGACCACCAGCTCCTCAGATAACCAAACCCAAGATGTTAACTCCGAGACAGTCTATGTTACTGCAGACTGAATCACAAAGAATCAATCATTTCAACCCAGCAACCACCACCGTCATCTTCACTGAAGACTCATCTAAGACAAAAGAGAGCAGATCCAGAGGTTCTGAAGGTTTCTTCATAATTCTCATACCGGATCCTCTTCTGAAAGCACATAATGTAGGAGAAAACCACCAAAAGCATTTCCACACAAATGCACAGGGGGAAGGGTCTACAAGTGACAAAATGTAGATTTCTTTTTGTTTGATTGTTTTAAATAATCTTTTTACATTATGTTGGAAAAATATATGTATTTATGTATGTGAAAATCATGTATTGAGAGTCTTATGTGTGATGCAGGTTTTGCTTTAGGACAGATATTATAATATATTGCTGCAAGACATTGACACCTACGCCTTAAAATATTTAGTTTGTTCTTATGGAAAAGGATCAAATTAATAGATGGCAGCAGCTTACGTGAGTTTTCATAAATCTGTAGCATTTATCTGAATGCAACAGGTATTTTTGGAGATACCTGATATTGAAATACAGTAAAACGGTTTCACAAATCAAATAAAGAGATTTTCTGTCCGCAAGTTACAAACTAATAGATCACATGTCAAATATTAGATAGCACTCACAGTACAAATATTTCAGAAAACACATTAGTCGTGACAATGTTTATTGAGTTTGAAATGACAACGAATGAGCTGTTTTTCATTGATTCAAACCACTTGGCCTTGTCAAATGTTCCATCGTGCGAACAAGAGTGAAGGCAGAGGTCTGGAAATCATCTAAGTTTGACAGTGAGTATACCAGACGCAGGTTTGCTCGAGTCATCTAGATGGTTCCACTGAGACGTGCTTGTACCGGTCCAGTTCATAATGGAGAACTGTATGATGGATTTGGGCACTGATGGGTTTTCTTGATCATAAGAATGACTGCTAGAGAAAACATACAAAGTCAGCTCCTGTGATACATTTGCTGTAGTTTAAACATTAAAAATATTTGAAAAATACTTTACTTTGACATTGACTCTGTACACCTCTTTCTTGAGCCATGAGGACCTGTAACAATGAAACAATCCTTTAGATACATTTCATGAATCTTAAAATGCTGTAACTTGATATTTTAGTTAATAGTTTTCTGTTAGACTAGAGAACCTTAGCTTACCTACTGGTTTTGTGATGGAGTTGGTCCCTTTTCTTCCTGTAGGAGGTGGTAGTGCTCGTCTACCAAAGGCGATAGTATCAAGCACCCTCTGTCTTTCTACACTGAACAGCTTAAATGCCTGTCTCCTTTCCTCCTGCTTCACTTCTGCCAATTATACAGTACCTCACTGCTTAAAAGTTTGGAATAATTAGGACTTTTTATGTTTTTAATGAAGTCCCTTATGCTTACCAAGACTACACAATAAAAACGGTAATATTCTGAAATGTTATTACAATTTAAAATAGCTGTTTTCTGTTTTAATATATTGTAAAATGTAATTTATTCCTGTGATGGTAAAGCTGAATTTTCAGCATCATTACTCCAGTCTCCAGTGTCACATGATCCTTTAGAAATCATTCTAATATATTGATTTAAATCTTACCCCAAACATTTAACAAAATAGTAAGCAGCACAACTGTTTTCAACATAGATAATGATCCCAAATTAGTTTATCCAATCACATAATTAGCCAATGTGTTATTCGTTTTTACAGCATTTTGAAATCTCTGATCACTTGGTGAATTATTCTAATATTGGAAGTTCGTATGATTATGGATGCCAACCTTTTCTATCTAAAAACCTCACAGATGGCAAATGGTGCAGCACATATTGGCGATATTCGGGATCTTGTGTGAAGGGGTTCAGATATAAAGCTGAAAAAGAAGATGCATTTTTATCTAAAATGACTTTTTGCTGCAAAGAATCTTCAATCATTAGAACCAAATTAGTTTATCCAATCACATAATTAGCCAATGTGTTATTAGTTTTTACAGCATTTTGAAATCTCTGATCACTTTTGGTGAATTATTCTAATATTGGAAGTTCGTATGATTATGGATGCCAACCTTTTCTATCTAAAAACCTCACAGATGGCAAATGGTGCAGCACATATTGGCGATATTCGGGATCTTGTGTGAAGGGGTTCAGATATAAAGCTGAAAAAGAAGATGCATTTTTATCTAAAATGACTTTTTGCTGCAAAGAATCTTCAATCATTAGAATACTGATACTGTATATTTGTTTTTGTTTGTCGTACAAATGGTGTAAAAATGAGCTTTTAAAATCTCAACTGCTATTTTAATTTGTAAATCTCAAGGAATATTTATAGTCTACTTTACTAGGGAATGCAATGGTTGATGGACTTAATGAGAGATGGTGGTCTCAGGTTCTCACAGAGAGTGTGGAGCTCCTGCATGTTCTTCAGCTCTGACACGGTCTCCTCCAGACACTTCATCTGATTATTGAATAGGGCCAGCACTTGCAGACATGTCAGGTGTCTCAATGCCCCTGAGTGCAGACAGAAAAAACGGTTCAAACTTAGAAACTACAAAAATAAATAAATATAAAACATCTTTTTAGCACAAACTGACCTGAAATGGAGAGAATGCCATTGTTCTGTAGATAAAGTTCTGTCAAGCAGCAGTTAAATGAAGCTCTGGAAACCTCTCGGATCTGTAAAGTCACTCTTTTAAATCTTCGAAATTCAGTTTTTTTAATGGAAAGTGTATTGCAGCTTTGTAGTTTTTACGGAACTGCTTCATAGTTTTAGTGTTAAACGTTATTTTAAGCTTTAAAAACTAGTAATCACACATAAGAGACAGTAAAATTCAATTTTTAGTCAGGCAGTCTAACCTTGTTATTGTTAAGCCACACGCATCTCAGCGTGGAGAACCTTGACAAATCAGGAATGTAAGTCAATCCTCTAAAAACAGATGGAAAACGAAAGGGGAATATACAAAAGAAAAGAAAATATCGTTCATAAATTAAACATTTAGTATTTTTTTATGCATTTTGTAAATTATAATACATTTCATAAGGTGTCAGGTCCACATCTTATTATCTAAAAACTGTATGTATATATTATTTATATTTTTCTTCTAAACACCTTCTGGCGAGATGAAGGTGGGTCACATCTGTGTCACGCTGAATCACGCGCTTCGGCAAAGGATCCTCATTTTCCTGTGTGGGGGGGAAAGAAAAAAAGATAAGTGATGCTAAGTGAACAACGGAGGAAATGAACTTTCTAATAAAGTGCAGTCCATAGAAATGTGCACTTGTGCAGTCTACCTGTTTGTATATTTCCATGTCTGATTCTGAACTAGAGCCTGCTGGTCTGAACAAGACAAAGACAAGACGACACTCGCCGGTTGCTAGGAGACACACTTCACTCTTGTTTGATTGATGGCCAATCACTGCTCAGAATTCTTTTGATCGCGCACGCTGACAACGTCACGGGGACAGTAATGCACTGTTCTGTTGTGTTGTGTTGTCTCGGTTGACATTTTCAAACTTTTTGATGCTAGTCTTCTTTTTTTCTCGTCCATGAGAGGGCACACTTTTCCTTAAAATATTGTTAGGCTTCCACCACGAGAAGAAAAAGTGTGTGGCAGGGTTGTTTGCGCTTGCATTGTTTACAATGATTGCGATACAACTAATTCGATTTTTACATGATATAGCATTTTACATAGTCAGGTACTGGACATATCTTTCCTAACTTGTTATTTTAAGGGCAAAAAGTATTTTATTATTATTATTATTACAAAATTTCCAAGACGATAACTGTCGTTGTCACTACAGTATGCCAAGTGATAAACGCAGTGAGGGCATGTGACTATCTATCTATCTATCTATCTATCTATCTATCTATCTATCTGTCTATCTATCTGTCTATCTGTCTGTCTGTCTGTCT